GAAAGAGTTGCATCAGAACTCGGAAGATGTCATAATTACAATGCATCGGATTTTGCTAATGCAGAAAGCAAATGATGAAAGGGGGAAGTTGTTTTGGAAAGCCAGGTTAGCAAATATTTCATCTCATATCACACCTGCAAACCCATTAATGATGGTTGACTCAGTATTCTCTCAGCCACTTCCTCTGCACTGCTTCCCCTCATGTTTGCAGTCACCTGTCAAGTCTAGCATTAGAAAATGGAATTTAAACAAAGGCAGACACGGGTGGAGTTAGGGGCGACTCGGAATTATAAACTATGCACCGTGAACTGCCCAATGGCCCTCAGATGTGCTTCCAATCTCTCAAGCATCTCATGTGTTGTTTCAAGTACTCCTTTCCGTTGGATCATTGATTTCCTGCTTGCAATAAGAACAGCCTGAAGAGCATTCAATTGTCAGAATGAGCCGAAACCTGACAATGCATAATACAGAAAAAATTTCCCCATGCCTACTTTTTTTTATTGTAAAACCAACAAATCATAATACTCAAAGAAAAGTTAACAATTGCTAACCTGGCTTTCCAAAACAACTCCACCTTTGATTTCCTTCAAATTGTTTTCTCTCAGCGTGGTCCCACTACTTACAAGGTCCAAGATAGCATCAGCTATCCCCATCTAAATAGGGCAAAGACAAACAATTACATAAATCATAAATATCACATCCAGCATATACGGCAGCAGCATCACAAAAATGAACATGCAGCAATCGATACATCATTTCAGGTGCAAAGACCTGAGAATCATGAGCAAAGGAATAAAATGGGAAAGGTTTTGTCAGGAAAGGGGATATAATTTCTACAAAAGAGTTTGTTGTTTGCAGCATGAAATAATTAAAATCCTAACCGACTTCACACTAATAAATATTGCCACAGAAAGAACTCCCAAGTTTATTTTGACATTTCACTAAAAGCAGAGTGCAATGCCAACAGATCTTTGGCTCAGTAGTTAACCACAGTTCACATCCCACCATTCCTCCCCATAGCATAAAACAGAAAATACCTGAAGTTCAACAAAAGCCAACCAGAAGTTGGTAATTTGATGAAACTTCACAATTCAATATAGCACTGCAGAATTTTCAATATGTTCCTCATTCTCCTGATATAGAATATGCAGAAAAACAATCTGGTTGGGCAAGCAGTGACATCACCTGTGTCCTCATTTTTCACTTTACAAAATAATGCTGTCATCAAAACAGCACACTAACACACTTTAATAAATGCTGGTCACCATGGCACACATATCATACCAACGAGAAAGCATAAAAGGGAAACAACAAAAGCACAGAACAAATAATCTCATTGGAAGAACAAATAATCTCTTGCATGGAAAAACATATTTTTAGGGAAAATTCAAGAAATGTATTATTTAATTTGCTGAATGCAAAACATTGACAGCTCTATGCATATCTAGCAACAATTTGCCACATACAGTGTACGTCTGCAGTTTAACGATCTTTTATCCTATAAATAATCTCATTGGAAGAACAAATAATCTCTTGCATGGAAAAACATATTTTTAGGGAAAATTCAAGAAATGTATTCTTTAATTTGCTGAATGCAAAACATTGACAGCTCTATGCATATCTAGCAACAATTTGCACATACAGTGTACATCTGCAGTTTAACGATCTTTTATCCTATATATAAAATTTGAACATCATTAGTTTCAGCCCCTAAACATTTATAGAATATTTATCAATGACTTTTGGGATCAAGATAATATTTAACCATGAATAGTGTATTAAGCCATAGAACAAAGACATATATCATCTATAAACAACTATAGTAAGCAAGAGCACCCCAAACCCCAACCATGCAAGCAGCAGCAGCAAAAGGAAAAAAAAAAAAAAAGATCTTGACCTAACACAGAATGGTCAACTATTAGATGAATAGAAAATTTAAATGAACAACTTTTAATAAAACAAAAAAGTATCTCACCGCAGGAGCTGCCTCTAGTGCTCCATCAGCAGTTGAAAATGTCACATGCTTAAGTCCATTCTCTTTCATAAATTTAGGCCCCAGCTGAACAGTAACACCAAAATTCAAATTAGATTTTCTTTTTTTAAAAGCTAACTGTAGAAACCCTACCAGAGATGATGCTTGGAAACATTAGTTGAACTTTAAGCACTTACATAGGTAAATCCAGTAGCAACTCGTAGAGGCCTTTCTTCTGTCCATTGAGGCATTTTTGCAAGTTCCTCCAGTGAATTTACATTTTCAAATATTCCATATTGGGGAATCTAAAATAACAGAGGGTACTTCAGAGTCCAGACAATTGATTGTACAAAACAATAACAGTAGCAGAATCAAGCAGTTTAAAACATCACAATTTTAACTCACTGCAAGGGATAATCGGCAATCACCATACTCCAGAGCCTCATGGACAGTGATGAGATCTTCGCTACTCTAACAAAAGAAAATTAGATGATAAAATTTTAGATTCTCATGAATAGCCTGGCTGCCTGGGAAATCAATTTTCAGTTACAGTTAAACTTGGAGGCAAAGCAAATTTTCAAGCTGGAAAAATGTGATACAAGTTAGTCAGGCCACATACAATGATTAAAAGGACCCGAAGGAGTATTAAATTTAAGCACCGTGAACCACAGGCACAAGGAACCTTTGCTTATATTGTGGAACAAAACTACATATATTGGACATAAATTACGAATGTGAAATCAGGCATAACAAAAATGTCCATTCACATGCTCACCTGGCCATATTCACTGAGTGTATCGAGCCCCACAATACCGAGGTCAAGATCTCCAGATAGCAGTTTTCTTACAATGTCTTTAGGCCTCTGAAACCAAACTTCCAGGTTGGAAAGCTGCAATGTAAGAAAATCCATAAATGGACATTTAGCATCATCCATGAGTGCAAAACACATTGATAGGGTAACATCCAGTCATAAAGCTGGAAGCAAACGGAAAAGTAAAACGCACCTGAGGAATCTCAGCGACATATTGTCTAGGATTGACCTGCTTCACTGACAATTGACAATTCTTGAATACAGAACAAGGCACAGTAGTTACAGTTAGTGAAAGAGAAACAGTGGAAAGTAAAACGTAAACAGTGCCCTAAATGTGAGAAGTAACAGTGGCGAATCGAATCGAATTGGCGAATAGAGTGAGTACCTTGAGAAGTTCGAGGGTGTCGGCAGACATACGGCCTTTGCTGGGCAAACCGAGACGGATCTCTTTCCGGTCGGCGAGTCTTCCGCCGGAGTTTCCGTTGAGGAGTTGGGGTTCCGCCTGCGGCTGAGGCACGGAAAGCGAGGCGTAGCAGCACCAGCTCCGGGACCTGACAGAAACGTGCAGAGGAAGAGTCATCGTCGTCAACATTGCTACTCTCTCGATCACTCCCGTACAAACGCCGCCGCGAAACTCAGATTTGGTTACTGAACTGTTTGTAAACAATAATGACAACCGTGCAAATATGTGGATGTCTCCACGTGTTCTCTTTGTCCATCTACACAAAAATCAAGTTATAACTCTGTTCCACACTCGTTAATTTATTTATTTTTTCTTCAACTGAGGTATATTCCAAATTATTTTTTCTCATATTCTGCGGAATATACCCCCCTTTAAAAAACTATCGATCGTTACGGTTGCATAAAAAAAATAAGGTTAAATATCTCTTTTAGTCTCTTACAATATTTTTTTGTTTTAATTTAGTCCCACTTTAATTTTTGGTCTCAATTTGGTCCCTAATAACAAATGATTTAGACGGAGTTAACCGTTGGCCACGTGGCATCTACATGGATGCGCACGTGGATGCCAAAATTTTTTAAAAAACCTGAAACCAGAATGGCCCGTTCTGAAACCAGAACGTGCCGTTCTGATTTTAGAACGGGCCGTTCTGAATTCAGAACGGCCCGTTCCAAAACGCCATGCCTTTTATTATATATTTTTTTATTATATCTATATTAATAAATATATAATAAATATAAAATATAATAAATTAATATTCATTTATGAATAAAACTATAAAAAAAATCAAATAAGATAAGACCTTCCAAAATATTTCTTTGATTTGAATTTATCCAGTTCAAAATTTTGACTAAAATGTCGCAATGTATTTCAAAAATTGAAAATAAAATTCAGGGTTTAGGGGTACCTCCTCAAGAACAGGTTGTTATTGTTGGGGTACATCGTCAATGACTTTAAGGAAAAACACTGTTTCATTTTATCCTTGATTGTATAGTGTCAATTTGGTAGTAAGTGGTTCACTCCAGTTTGACTAACAATGAAATAAAACTTGTTACCATTGTCCTTAGTGATACACTGCATCATTCTTAATGATATACTGTGTAGCCCAAATGTTTAGCGGTTGAAGTTATTAATCCTCATTAACAATATTACTAAATATAGTGTTTGAAATGATTTGTATTTTTCCTAAAAAAGAAAAATGCTTTGTATTTTTCCTATAAAAAAAATGTTTTGTATTTTGGTTTTTTTGCACGAAATTATGGACCAAAACGGCCCGTTCTGGGTATATTGTTGATGTGTTAATTTTGGACCTGGAACGGGCAGTGCAAATTTTACACACCAATAATGTAACCAGAACGAGCCGTTATGGTTCCAGGTGTATTCAAGTATTTTTTGATCCACCTACGTGGCATCTACGTGGCATCCACCTGGCATCCACGTGGCCACCAGTTAACTCCGTTTAAATTATTTAGACGGAAATCCCAAATTGGAACGATTTAAATTATTAGGGACTAAATTGAGACAAAAAATTAAAGTGGGACTAAATTGAAACAAAAAAATATTGTAAAGGACTAAAAGAGGTATTTAACCAAAAAATAACTTATTATAGCTGCCAATGTTATTTATTTAGTATGTGTTGGATTTGGTAGTTAATTAATAAAGGAAAATATATTACACTGATATCGTTTGAATTATTATTATTATATATATATATATATATATATATATATATTGATATTAAGTATAAGTATAAAAATATATGTTATGGGGATGTATTGAATTAAGATTTTATAAAATTTATTTTAATATAAAAGTTTTATGAATTTTAAAAGAAATTGTAAAAATTTAATAAATTTTAATATTTTTTTTTAGATTTTGTTTGTGAATTATGTTTTGCAATGGTCATTATGTTGGATTTTCAATTCTATTTTTTAAGCAATGATCATATTTATATCTTAGTAAAAAGGAATTAGAAGTATAACTTATTTTTGTAAGTTATGATAGAGAATTACGATGTTAACCTTTTGAAATAATTGTAGTTAGTTAGCCATTGTAGTTGTACGGGTAGGGGCGTTCAGCCACCCTCTTATCGGCCGCCGAATGGCCGAACCAGGTGGTCGATTGTCAATCGGTCACCTGGATCGGCTTATCTTTATTAATTATTTTTAATAAATGATTAAGGGTTAATTAGCTGATTAAGAAGTAGTGCTCCACGGCATTCCAAATCTCCTTTGCAGAATTAAGAAACATGCAAGTATCAGTGATTTCTGGGATCATGGAGTTCCATAGCTATGCCATGATCATAGAGTCCTCTTCATCCCATTTTGTAAATTTGGGATCTTCTTCCTTAGGAGCATCTTCAGTCAAGTGGTTAGCTTTCCCTTTACCTTTCAAAGTTCTACGAACAAGCTGGGCCCATTTCAAGTAATTCTTCCCATTCAATCGGTAGGCAGTGTTGAGGTTCTGCAGTTGTTCCTGAGTGTTCTGAGACTCAGTATTCACCACTTCAGCAATTGGGTCTGCCATGTCCACCGTAGTACAACAACCCTAATGCAGTGAGTATGTATTTGATTGTTG